GGAGTCTCACTCTGTCACCCAGGCTGGAGTACAGTGGCACCATCTCGGCTCACTGCAACCTCCGCCTCCTGGGTTCAAGCAATTCTTCTGCCTCAACCTTTCGAGTAGCTGGGACTACAGGTGCACGCCACCATGCCCAGCTAATTTTTGTATTTTTAGTAGAGACGAGGTTTCACCATATTGGCCAGGCTGGTCTTGAACTCCTGACTTTGTGATCCACCCACCAGGGCCTCCCAAAGTGCTGGGATTACAGGCACGAGCCAACGTGCCTGGCCACTGTTGTCACTCTTTAACTTATCAAAGTGTTTCTGTGAAGGTTGCAATTCTTTTGTGATTTTATGGGTGACTTTAATGCTGTATTCTATCTGAGAATTGTATTCCATATTTTTTCTTTTAATATCTATGTAATTTGAAACACTTTAGCAAATTCAGGTTCTGCTTCAGGTTCTTCTTCATCTTCCTCCCTAGATGACTCAGTAAGTTCTTCCATTTCCTCATTTGTTAACATTTCCTAATGAACTTCAATATGTTGTTTCACTTCTTTATCAACACATTGGCAAATCTCTCTCTATCAATTAGTCTTGCTGCATGAATTATTTTCCTAACTTCTCCATTGATCCCCAAGAAGTCTTGAAAATCACTCAGGACTTCACTCCATACATTCTTCCAGCAGGCATTTCTAGTTTTTTGATTTAATTAATCCATTGCATCTTTGGAGAGTGTTATTGCATCAGCAATAGTGAGTAATTTCCAGCACCTTATCATGTCCAGATTGGGGTCTGCATCAGTTGCTGATTGAATGTAATCAAACACCAGGCAGGTGTATGTGGCTTTGACAAACTGAATGATGCCGTAGTCAAGGCACTGAAACAGTGAGTTTGTATTTGGAGGTAAAAATACAATCTCAATATTTTCATTTTCAACAAAAACAGATTGGGGATGGCTAGGTGCATTGTCTAGTATTCCAAGCTTTCCTCTTTCAAGTATTTTTTCACTTCTGGGAAGAAGCATTGGTAGAACCATTCCATAAAAATGTTGACTGTCATTCACACTTTCTGATTATGTTGCCAGAACACAAGCAGATAATTTTTGCTTTTGTTTTTGAGAGTGTATGGCTTCTTCATTCTGCATGCTATGCCTGTCTGTATTATGTGCACTGCAGCGTTGCCACCTCGTACCAGTGTTAATCTATCCTTCCATGTTTTTTGTCTTGGTGCCTCCTTTGGACTTTTAAGAGTGTAGGTTCTATTGGGCATCTTCTTGCAGAAGAGCCTGGTTTCATCACAATTAAAACCTTGCTTTGGATGGTATCCTTTCTTTCTAACCAACTTCTTCAACTCTGCCAGAAATGTGGCAGCAGCTTCTTCATTGGCAGATGGAGCCTCTTCAGTCAGTAGTTTTTTGTTTTGTTTTGTTTTGTTTTTGAGATGGAGCCTCGCTCTGTCGGGACCAGACTGGAGTGCAGTGGCGCGATCTTGGCTCACTGCAACCTCCGCCTCCTGGGTTCAAGCGATTCTGCTGCCTCAGCCTCCCGAGTAGCTGGAACTACATGCACACGACACCATGCCCAACTAATTTTTGTATTTTTACTAGAGATGGGATTTCACCATGTTGGCATGTTGGCCAGGATCATCGATCTCTTGACCTCATGATCCGCCCACCTTGGCTTTTCAAATTGCTGGGATTACAAGCATGAGCCACTGCGCCTGGCCCTCTTCAGTATTTTTTATACTTTTCAGTCCAAACCTATTCCCAAATTTGTTTAACCATCCTATATTTGAAGAAAATGGGTCATTGTCACTCATTTTGGAGGATGCCTTGCTGAAGTCTTCATACAGATTCAATGCTTTCAGGTGCAACATGTTTCCATCACCTGGAAAATATTTTCTATTTATGCCTTCCACCTTCTATCTTAACTAAGCACTTATCAAACACTGTGGCCAAAACTTTTGCTGTTTGAGGTGGAACAGAAAAAATAGCACAGATTTCTTTTTTCTTCTTCACAACTTAATGGATAAAAGATTGTTTCTGAGTGTAGATCTTAGCAACCTCAGCATGTGAATTTTTCTTTACTTATTAAGTCAAGAACTTTCATGTTTTCACTTAAAGAAAGCACTTTATGGCTTCTTTTTTGGCATATTTGAATTGCCAACATCACTTATTTTGCAGTTTGGGGCCATTTTAATAAAGAAGGGTTATTGAACACCAACATTGAGGCATCAGTGCAGTCAATCTGATCATCAGGGTGGCTAAGTAACTAATGGGAATGTGGTATCTACAGTGTGAACATGGGGGACAAAGGAAGGATTCATGTCCTGAGCAGGACGAAGTGAGATGGTGCGAGATTTCATCACACAACTCAAAATGGTGTGCAATTTAAAAACATATGAATTATGTATTTCTGGAATTTTTGATTTAATAATTTTGAACCACAGATTAGCTTAGATCCCTGACACACCAATAAAAGGAAAATTTTGTATTTTATCAATGAGCAATGAAATCTCAGAGAGGGTCCAAAGGGCAAATATATAGCACATTCATAAGCACCTTCAAAGACAGGTGCAAAAAGAACAACTTATAAAGTTGGGGACATGGTTAAGGGAACCAACAAAAACAATGAGGCACCCAGGAAGAATCTGTCATTCACCTTTGAGACCAATGAGTAAACATTTCCTTTGTGAGTAATGCCGTATTCATGCTTCCCTGGCACACTGAGTTCTTCCAAAGCTGCTGTGGATACCATGTGCTCTACAATTTCCATAACAGGTAGTAAAAAAGAAAAGAAGAGGCAGAAAGAGGAAGATACAGGTGAAATGGGATCACATCAAGATGTGTAAATTCACAGCAAGTGAAATGATCTTGTTCCATAATACCTCCAAGCTGACAGTTCTTCTGAGCAAACCTAGTTGATCTGTCAGTTTTGAGCATCTCCACACTTTGATCCATTTAACACCTGACCTCCATGTTCTCTCCAACACCCTGACCACCCCCACACCTATTGTTTCTGCTGCTTAATTGGGAATGATCAAGTGTTATGCATTGTTTTTCTAAGTGAACTGCTCACTTAGAATAACAGTGCATAACAATCAGTATGAACTGTATTACATTTCCTTTGTAGCCTCTTACTGTATTCAGTAGGTATTAATGTTGTTAAATAGGTGAAATATAGATGATTGATTAGAAGAAATCCTGACATAGTAAGTATGAAATAATTAGCAGAGCAGAGGAACAAAAAGGATATGTATGAATATAAAGCATTGGAGAGAGATTAGCAACATCTAGAATGTGACAGTTGGAAGAGGTGGATTGAATTGAAGTCCTCCAATGATTATACCAAATGCTTATCTGTGGTCAACCATAGGACTCAATAAATGTTGCCAAGGTTTTAACCAGATATTTCAAGTCATAAAGATATTTTTCTTTGAACACAGTAGAGCAAGTATGAAAATAAAAGATGGAGAAAATATTTGTTATTCTTCCTAAACTTTTACAAACTTGAGCTTCTTTGATCTTATTTCTATTATGAACTATATATTTTTTCCCAACACTGATGTGGCTATGTCTCAGTAATCCACGGAGATGACGAAGTGTGGCTAGTTGAACTTCAATTTTACTTTATTTGGCCCTTTCTACTCCAAAACCTCCACTAATGCCAAGTAAGATAGTGAGGCCATCTAGGTGATTAATGTTGGATAATCAAATGAATTATTTTTGATGGTCTTTATAACAATTTTATTGTTTATTCTTTACCAAGGTAAAACCACGAAAGATTTAAGTATAGCTGTTCAAATGATGAAAAGGATCCACTCCTTGATGGAAAAATACTCAGAACTTTTACAAGAAGATGATCGGCAACTCATAGCCAGATGCCTTAAGTATTTAGGATTTGATGAGTTGGCAAATTCTTTACATCCAACTCAGGTAATATTATCGGAATAGCTCAATTTCAACAGGGTAATTACTAGTTATACATAAAGTGTTTTGCAAATATAGTCATCTCTTCCAGATTTTTTTTTTTTTTTAACTGAAAATACTATTAGTAGTAGTAATCCAACTGCCCAATCTTGAAGTAATGCATAATTAGAAAATTTGTACAAATGCTTACCTGGACAAACATTAAATGCCAGATAATCTCTGCAGATCCTTAAAACTAACCGTATACTTAATTCTAGCAAAACATCTCAAAACTGTAGTATGATTATTCAATTGTCTTTAAATATATCAGGTTGTAGCTACAAACGTCATGATATATATTTAAAAATCTTGACGCCTACTAATTTTTTCTAGTTAAGACAATGATTTTAAAAATTTAAATTTAAAAGGTGGTAAAATGCTTTCATTGCTTTTCACATAGAAAGGGCTCAGTAATAAATGTTTTACTTATTTAAATGATATTCTAATTCAATGTCATTTTCAAAATGGACTTTTAAAATAATGCAGGATGCAGAAAATGATGTAAAAGCGAAGAAAAGGAATAAATATTCAGTTGGCATCGGGCCAGCTCGGTTCCAACTGCAATACATGGGCCATTATTTGATACGAGATGAGAGAAAAGACCCAGATCCCAGGGTCCAGGATTTTATTCCCGACACATGGCAGGTAATACTTCAAATGAAACAAAAATTACTGTATTTTTTTTATTATATGTGATCTCAGAGATTTCTCATTATTGTGCCTCTACTTATTATATTTGGTATGAACTTGTTGATGTCATTTAAAGATACCTTGTTATTTAAAATGTCAAATGTGGACATTTTTTCCCCATTTAAAGAAAGTGAGATTTTCTTTTATCATAGAGACCATTTCCTTGGAGGTACATTAATGGATTCATATGTTTAGCTCTGATGTTATCTCAGTGTCATCCAGCTGTATCATCATGGAGCAGCCTCCAGGTTTTCCCTGTGTCAATAGGATTTCATATGTAAATACATAAATGTGCATAGAGAAATCTGGATAGTTTAAATAGTAGGGACAATTGTTTAGATATTTACACATTGCATCTGTCACCATAGTAGCTATTCTAAAAATGTATATAAAATTAATATTGATGGATATAAAATTCAGAGGAAAAGGATGCATTTCTACATGCATTGAACCATACAGACTTGCTGATAAATTGAACAGGTTTACCTACAGAAATGCAATTTTATAGCTTCAGTCTAATAGACTGCCCTCTTCAGAATCTTTCTTATGATGGTGGGGTAGGTTAAAAAATGCATGCCGCCTTTTCATGAATAGGAAGACCAGTTCCTTACTTCAGTGCAGGACAAGAGACAGTAATGCTCTCCATTAATTTCATCCACATTGTAACTGTTCTGATGCCCATTCACTCTGAGGTGTGACCAGGAGTGGACTGGTTGGGGTTTTGAGTTGTTTTCCCACCTTCTACCTATTACATAGACTTATCATCATTCTTTTCGGCTAGTCAACATTCTTCGGCTGAAGGGATGGAGCTCTCCCATCCTGGCATTCTTCTATGTAGAAAGTAGAAGATCAGTAGCAAAATTAAGAATATTTGATGTTTCTTCTCCTCAGCTACTTTTTTCACCATCAGTAATATACATATTTTCTCTTTCTTAGAACTTAGTTTCTCAACCGCACTTACTGAATATCAAATAATTACAGATGTTTTCTCAATAATAAGATATTTTGTTCGACATCCTCTCCATTTTTCACACATGAAACCCACCTTACAGATGTTCAAAAGCATAAAAATGATCTCTTCTGAGAGAATGGCATGAGACCTTCAGATGTCCCTATAGATCCTTTGAGGTTCAGAAAATCGTATTGGAAGTCTATTAATATACTGTCTTTGTTTTGGTAACATATGGTTCACTTTCTTGACACGAATGGTACTCTGCACCCTGCAGCGAGAGCTCCTTGATGTTGTGGATAAGAATGAGTCTGCAGTGATTGTTGCCCCAACATCCTCAGGCAAAACCTATGCCTCCTACTACTGCATGGAGAAAGTGCTGAAGGAGAGTGATGATGGGGTGGTCGTGTACGTTGCTCCCACAAAGGTAGTGCTCAAGTGACTGTAATATTCTCTTTCGTTCCTGAACCTACTCTTTAAAAATAATGAACATGGTCACATGGTAGATCTAGTTCATTTTATTTTTTAACCTGCGTTTTCTAGTTCCAGTGTCTGAAGCTAAAATAACATACATATACATATACACATACATATACACACACACACACACAAACATATACATAAAATAACATATACATATTCAAACTTTAGACATCAGGGGAAAGTCACCAAATATAGGAGATACAATTTTTTTCTGATGCATAAGCAACATTTTCTGTTTTTCTTTCTGATGAATACTTTTTAAATTTCATTTTACTTTAGGTTGAGGTTTATCAGTGAGGTTCGTATGCTGAGTCAACTATCTCAAAGAGAATATGTTAGTGTGTTTAGAGTGGTGGGTTGATGAAAGGGGTTAGTAAGCTTTCTGCACTGAAAGTAGGACACACTTTTAAACAGTTCTTGTTGTCCTCTGATCTTTCACCTCTCTCTATTATGTGACTAATGGATCTTTTTCTTTGTCAATCAGGCCCTTGTTAATCAAGTGGCAGCAACTGTTCAGAACCGTTTTATGAAAAATCTGCCAAGTGGTGAAGCTCTCTGTGGTGTTTTCACCAGGGAGTATCGTCATGACGCCTTAAACTGTCAGGTACAGTATTTTAATTAATAAGTGTGTTATTGAATTATATAACTGTACTTGTATATCTCTTTGACTAGAAATTCAACATCTTCACAAGGCTTGTGAAAATAATTTCCTTGAATTTATGAAAGACAAAATACTTTTAGAGAAAATGTAATATTGTTACATTTCAAAGAGTGAGAACTAGAACTCATCTTTCTCTAAGGACACTGACCTTTGGATTTCTGATTTCATTTATATTTTATTGCATCGTCTTGGTTTGTAAAGGGATTCAGAATGATCTGAAAATGCTATGTTATAGAAAACTAACAAATCTCAATTTTAAATCAATTACTTTTTCTTCATAAGTATCTATTAAGGATACTCATGATTTAGAAAATGTATTATGGATCATATACCTGGTGCTAAATCATAGACAGTTTTCTCCCCTCCGAACTCACAGATCAATAATTAAGACTAAATAAGAATGAACACATGATTGTAGAAGATTGCATGATAGACATGGAGATGTTCTACCCAGATTGCCTTTCAAAGGAGGACTTGATGTGGGGAATGTGGTTAAGATAGATGCCAGCTATCAGCTCCGCTCCCCCAGTTCTGCCTCCACAGTCTATACCCTGCAACTGAGCTAAGTAGAAGTACAAACAGTAGGCTGCTGTGGCTCGATGTGGAACAACTCTGACAGCAGTCCTTACTCCAGAACTCCAAGCTAGGTTGGCAGAGGCTCCATCAGGCCTGCCTTGCAGTTAGGCTTCCTCCTCTGCTCATTCCTGCTTCCCTGCTCTTTTCACACTAGCTGATTCTTAATAAACACCTTTCAATCTAAACTCTATGTCAGTGTCAGGTTTTAAAGAATCAAACTTGTGACAATGAATAGTTTCTATTTTTAAACTCTGAATGCTCATAAACAAGGATATAAACTTCAAATCTGATTTTCTACCATTTTTGACCTACCAAAATTTCTGTTTAATATGGTTCCAATGAATATGGCACAGTTTTGATGAAACCCTGAATTCTCAGAAGCAATGTTATATGCCAATTATCAGCAGGTACATGCAGGACTTGTAAGTCTATCTTACATATTCTTGTAACTATATCTACACATGGTAAGTGCTCAAAATGTTACCTCACACAATATTATTCTTTGTAGGTACTTATTACAGTGCCTGCCTGCTTTGAAATTCTGCTGCTTGCTCCTCATCGCCAAAATTGGGTGAAAAAGATCAGATATGTTATATTTGATGAGGTAGGTTTGGTGTTCTTTGTTTGCTTAATTTCCTAGTGCACATTTGCATAGCAATGAAGATATTTGGTGTTTCAGGACATCTATCCCCTTGGATGGAGTTCAGATTGAGAAGGCCTCCCTTTTTTTTTTTTTTTCCTGAGTGATTTTTCCTGGGAATTACAGTTTTTTTGCTCCCTTTTCATGTTGTGACTCAATAGGGTAAAATGATGCACCCCACAGAGTTCTGTATGGGAGTGGAATCTTTCACTGACAACTGTTTCAGGGAAAATAGAGTTCAACCATTCTGGTACAAGTTCCCCTGGACAGAGATTTCAATCCAATCTTTGACCTCTAAAGTAAATAATTTTTGGCTCTAACAATGATGCCAGTTACATAAGTTTTATCAGTCATGATCCCAACAGAAAATTAAATGACACTCTTGAAATACAATAATTCAAGAAGGATATTTTTCAAAGGTGTATGTGAGGGAATCCATAAGGATTAGTGCAGTAATCTAGAGCTAGTAGTTTACCCCTACGCTTAAAGGGGCAAGGCGTGGAAGCATTTATGGAAACTCAAAACGAGATTCCAATTGAGTTGACCATGTTGGGAGGAACATAGCTGATTTAAGGTAGCTTTTCAGGAAAGGAGCCAATGGAAAAATGACCTCAGTCTCAGTCTCCACGCTTCTTCTGATCTGTGGCCAAGGCCCTCCATAGACCAAACCCAGTGGAACCAGAAATCATAAGAGTCCTTTTGACAAAGTACCTGTAGGTCAGCTTTCCTGGGAAGAGGCAGCAGGATAAAAAACAATGTAGATTTATAGCGATTTATTGGGGCAAATGGAAGATACTTCGCAAAGCTATATTGCAGCATTATTAGGAATGTTTATTGGTCAGATGGCTCACACTTGTAATCCCAGCACTGTGGGAAGCCGAGGCGGGAGGATTGCCTGAGGTCAGGAATTTGAAGCCAGCCTGGCCAACATGGTGAAACCCCATCTCTACTAAAAATACAAAAATTAGCTGGGAGTGGTGTCAGGTGCCTATAATCTCAGCTACTCAGGAGGCTGAGGCAGGAGAATCACTTGAACCAGGAGACAGAGGTTGCAGTGAGCCGAGATTGTGCCACTGCACTCCAGCCTGGGTACCAGAGTGAAACTCCATCTCAAAAAAAAAAAAAGAAAGAGAAAAAAGGGGGAATATTTATTAAAAGAGATTTAAAACACGATAGGAAGATATATTCTTTGGCTCTGTGGAATTTTACATTCAAAGGGAAAAAGTTTAAGAAATCTCTGTAACTTACCTTTTCCTTGCTATAAACTTGGAGCTACCAAATAGGCTGTGCTTTGGATTTGATACTGATTTATTATATTTATTTTTGGTTGATCTCATATTGCATCATGAAGGTCTTGAATATTATTGTTTTCAAAAATCCAACAACTTTGTCTATGCAATCTAGAACTTTGAATTAAAATCTCATCTCAAAACTCTGAAGTGATATGATGATATGACTTTGGCTATTTCAGTTTTCAGAATTTTGTATAAGGGATAAAACCGAAAGGTTTTAAAGGCTAATGTCTACTGGCAGAATCAGGGAAAAGTGCTATCTAGGGCAAAGCATAAGGTCAATATTTGATGGAGTGGTATTTTATCTCACCAGGACAAGCCCAAATGGGCAGTGGGTATGCATATTCTAATAGATAGATAATTTGACTTTGATAGTAAGTCTTTTCCAGTTGCTTGCCAAGTGTCATACTTTAATCTGTTAAATGAAGACCACAATTGAGACTCTTTTCTAGATCTAGTTTGATTTGCTCATCCATTCATTTACTCAGCAGATATTTAAGGAGTGCCTGCTCAGTGTTAGGCTTTGTGTCAGTGGCTAGGAATAGAATATTCAGGTCTAAGGTTACAGTTTACTTAATGCCTTATCTATTAGACACTGAAGCTGACAGCAGTTTAATCAAGAAAGAGGAAATAAACAAGTGAGCTCACAAATGATGATGCCAGCTCACGTTGGTACAAACTGTGAAGGAAGGGAGCAGGCTGCCATGACTGCAGTCATGGTAGGGTGTCAGGAGGAGGCAACTCTGGAATAGGTGGTCAGAAAAGTCTGTTTTATGGAGTGGCATTGAGCTGAACTCTACCGTGTGAATAGGAGAGGGTAAGAGTAATTTAAGCAGAGGGAATAATATACATGAAAACTCTTGGGTAGGAAGGGTGAGTTCAAGGAACAAAGAAAAGGTCATTCTTTCTGGACCATAGTAAAGGTGGAGACAGTGGATTGAAATAAAGCCAGAGAGGCAGCAGTGGCCGAATGATGCCAGACATTATACATCCCATTAAGGAGTTTATATTTTATTTCACATGCAAAGGGAATATATTAAAGCAATTTATTTAGTGACATGACTTGATATAGTTTATCTTTTAAAAGCTTTTTTTTTTTTTTTTTTTTTGAGACAGTGTCTCACTCTGTTGCCCAGGCAGGAGCGCAGTGGTGCCATCTCAGCTCACTGCAAGTTCCGCCTCCTGGGTCACGCCATTCTCCTGCCTCAGCCTCCCGAGTAGCTGGGACTACAGGCACCCCCCACCATGCCCGGCTAATTTTTTTTGTATTTTCAGTAGAGATGGGGTTTCAACATGTTAGCCAGCATGGTCTCAATCTCCTGACATCGTGATCCGCCCGCCTCGGCCTCTCGAAGTGCTGGGATTGCAGGCATGAGCCACTGCGCCCGGCCAGCATTTTTATTTTGGCTGTGATGTGAAGAATTTAAGGGCAAGTAGGCAGTCTAGTATAGTAGTCAAGTGGATATTGTGGTAACGCTGCTGAGATGTGAGAGTAGCTAGGTTGGCGGTAGACATGAAGATAAATGCATTGAGTTGAAAGAAATTTTTGAAAGTAAAGTAAGGCAGAATTGTTGGTGAATTGGTTGTGGGAATTTTTAATATTTCTTTAAACTTGGCATGGTCACTTAAAGGCGATGGGAAGGCAGGCATGACAATTTCAAGATTCCATGTCTTACTTTCATTTGCTATTTTTAAATCAGCTTTTCAGTTGAGATTTTCTTTTTTTTCTTTAATAGGTTCATTGTCTTGGTGGAGAAATTGGAGCAGAAATCTGGGAACATCTCCTCGTCATGATCCGATGTCCCTTTTTGGCTCTTTCAGCTACCATAAGTAATCCTGAACATCTCACCGAGTAGGCATTAAGTTCCAATTTGGACAGAGTGTTTGTCTATTTTGAATGTTTGAATTTCATAATTTCTCAATGGGTTCTGAGGAGTTTCATAATTTTCTAGTGAATTTAATAGTTTATTTCTGGATCTTCAAGAAACTGCATCTCTCTACACCTCCTGGCCATTGCTGAGGAAAACCACCCTCTGTACAGAAAAATCACAGACTTCCCCACCTAGACCTGCAACTGAGTAGGAAATTTCCCCCATCCTGAAAATTGCTCATCAGAAAAGATGTATTTTTGTGTTTTTTTTGGTCCTCCACCAAGAAATAAAAAATAAAATGATATAATAACACACTCAGCCATGGGGCCTGTGGTCCATTTTCCCACTTCGTTGAGATATTTAGAAAGATAGCAAATTCTTATTAGTTGAAAGCCCCATTTTATCTTGTCATTGAGCTTGATTTTTACCTACTACTAGTAATTTTTTTTTACTTTACAATATTTACTTATTTACTGATAACAATCCTATAATACTTCCTATGTGCCCAGTAGTGTTCTAAGTGCTTTACATGTAGTAATTTATTTTAAGTGCCCAGCAACCCTTATGATTTATGCTTACTTCCATTACTACTATTAAATAGTCACAATTCCAATATTACTACCATATTTCCATTTTAAAATATGGAAAACTAGGTACAGAAAGATGAAGTTATTCAACCAGGAGACACAGCTATTAGTAAGAAGGTCGGGATTTAATTTCAAGTAGTCTGGCTTCTGAGTCTATTCCCCTAAGTATAATTTATAAGGAACATGAAACTGTCTTTACTTAAACTACTTAATTTCACAGGAAGTAGTTCCATGTTCTGCCTAAATAATATGTACATTTATTTTTTAAGGTGGCTACAATCGGTAAAATGGTACTGGAAACAAGAAGACAAAATAATTGAAAATAATACTGCTTCTAAAAGACATGTGGGTCATCATGCCGGCTTTCCCAAAGACTACCTGCAAGTAAAACAGTCATATAAAGTTAGACTTGGTATGTTTGATATATTTCTATAAAGTTTGCCTTTTACTTTATTTTTTAAAAATCTACCATTATCTTGATCTTGATGCCTTTTACTTTAAATTTATTTCAGTGATTACATTTCCATTGATGTGGAAATTCTTGTTCTTCATTTTTAGTGCTCTATGGGGAGAGGTACAATGATCTAGAGAAGCATGTATGTTCAATAAAACATGATGACATCCATTTTGATCATTTTCACCCATGTGCTGCACTAACCACAGATCATGTAAGTAGTATTTTAGCCATATTTGTTCTGAGTAATATAAAATACTTGTATGTATTATAAATAAATGCTGCCTAACTGATATTTATCAGAATTATAGAATTACAGAATTATAGAAACTGATACTTTAACCTTAATTTAAAAAATAACAAGAGTATTCTTTCTAATTCTCATTGGTTCTTCAACAATGCCTGAATACACAAAGATTAAAAACCACTACAAATTTAACCTGAATTTTTAGCTAATTTTATTTATTCTCAGATGTTTTCTTTGCCAATTTTTCTTCTTCTCAGCACCCATGTCTGTCTGTCTACCCCTCTGACACTAATTCTTCTCACAGTGCAGCCATACAATTATATGTGGACAATCCCTAGTACATAGAAAAATCAGATAAAAGACATTCTTGCTAATGTAGCAATCATGACGTGCTTTTTTGGTGGTGAGCCACTAAGGTGGAGGTCTTAGGAGGATTTCAGCTGGGACACCGGGGTGTGAGTGAGGAAAGATTTCTTAATTTTTCTTGCATAGTTCTCTTCCTGTCTCATCCTACTCCCATAAATGGCCCATTTAAACTTCCTTTGGCTTTCAAAGTGATGATTAGTCAGTAGTTTTGTCTTCCTTCTAAAACCTTAAATATATTCCAAATTCTGTCATGTTAAACATAATAGGACATCCATCATAAGATTGTTGTGATGATTAAAGAAGGTAAAATATGTAAAGTTTTTAGAGCACAAAAGTCAACATAATTTGACACGAATATAATTAAACATAACTCTCAACTTTCTTTAAAGATAATTTTGATCTTTCCAAGTCTCTTTTGGCTTTCTTTTGGAAAAAGCTAAATGCATACCTCCTTAGCTTAACAACCGAGGTCATCCATGACCTGGCCCCAACGTCCTTTCCATTCATCCACTAGGGATATCTTACCTGGCAGCCCTTATGCTATGTATTGCTCTTGGAATATTTCAACCCAGATGCCAACTACCAGTTGTTCGGATCCTGTTCATCTTCCATAATTCTTCTAATGTGAAACCTTTTCCGAATTCTTCTCTAACTTTCTTAGCTAGATGTAATCTTCTTCTCTTCATAATACCTTGTCTGTATTTCTAATACGACACCAGTCATGATGAGCTTACTGCTTAAGTCATTTACATGCATATAGTCTTTACTTACTAGAATAACTCTTTGAAGGCAAATTTTATGTCCTTCGTTTCCTAACAAACTGCTATGTATATAAAAGGTACTACATGTATGTTAAATAGGAACAGCCAACCTAAATTGAACACTTACTTCGTGTTCTAAAAATTCTGCGTTTTTAAACTCTCTTAACCATGACAACAATCTTATGATAGATGTCTTAATACTAGTCCCACTTTACAATGAGGAAAGTGAGGCATAGAGAACTGAACTAATTCAGTGTTCTTTCATTAAGTAAATGGTGGGGTCATGATGCAATCTCCAACAAGTTGGCTTCTAAAAGCTGGCTGGCTGATAGTAATTTTCTAATAGAATTTTGTTATGGAAACTTATCTCTTGTGTGACAATGGCCCATTCCAAATTCTAAATGAACCTAAAATATGGACAATATTCTTGTGACTTAACTCATACCCCAAACCTAGAATATGGATGATAACCCACATATAAAAAAAAGACACCTTATTCTATGTTTTTTTCTTTCTCCCTTCCCTCCCCTCCCCTCCCCTTCCCTTCCCTTCCCTCCCTCCCTCCTTCCTTCCCTCCTTCCCTCCCTTCTTTCCTTTAAGATATCCAGGAGTTATCTGACATTTTCATCATTACCTGGCATTTTAAAAACAGTATAGCATTTAAAAATTATTCTGTGTAGGATGGTTCAAGGCAGGTTATCTTTAAGCGGCAATGCATGTAGTGGTTTGGAGTACTTGCTGAAATTGTCATTTTGGTCCAAGTGCCTTTCGTCTATTTTCAGTAGCTATTAATGGAGTAACTGGAAAGCAATAGAACTGCTACAGTGTGCTGTGACCCCAAATGACTTCTGCAAAGGTCAAGCTGTTGTATGAGTCTTCTGTAGATGTCTAGACTTTTGTGGCAGGAATGCAGGATGAACATAAAGACTTAAGTATTAGTAAGTCTATTTTGACAGCTGTGTGTATAGCATGTGTTTATATAGGACATATCCTAAAGTAGCAGTGATAAAAACCAAGGAGGCCTTTCAACTGAGTAAATAATTCCTGGTCTTGTGTAGTCCATTTCAGATTAATATGGAAAAAATGGAGTGGCAAGAAAAAACATAATAAACTGTGGCAACATAAGAAGGGCCATCCACCTGGGTCCTTTCCTCTATAGTTGTAGTATAAAAATGATTTCAGGAGTAGGGCAGGATGAGTGAGCTGGTCTGAATCCAACCATGGTGAGGGATCGCCTTCAATCCATACATGGCTTGTTTCTGGCTAAGGACAGTGTCTTTGGCCTTTGGCCCAATTTTCATGCCACACAGGAACAGCTGCTGACTCCTGGAGTGCTATCAGCCCCAGAAAGTCCTTGAAAGAACTGCTGTCTATCTCTTTCTGCTCAGCATAGATCAATGCCTACCCTCACCTATGACATTAGGGACAATGTGGTTTACAAAAATAGCGTCATGGTATAATACTATTGTGTTTATAAATAAAGAATGGTACAAATCTATCACCTTTTATTTCTCTTCATTTTCTGCCTAGACTCACTCAACTTTTGCAGGATCATTAGTCACTATGTAGTGGAGAACAACTGAATTGAATCCCCAGTATTTAGGCATAGGACTGTTAAACTGATTTAAAACATTAAGAACTATAAGGGATAATTAATCAATCATATTGATGGCTGTGTCATTAATCATATGCCAGGCATTTTACTAGGCCTGTTACATATGTTATCTAATATAATTCTCATAAAAAAAATCTATGTCACGGGCAGAATTATCCTTCATTTTAGAAATGAGGAAACTCAGACCTCTCTAAAAGGCTAAAGACTTAAGAACTCTTAAGCATTCTAGCAACCAAAAACAGAAGATTTATATTTTAACATTATAATAAATATTCGATTTATTGTATGTTTTTATTTTAGTTAGGTAGAGTAAGTAACCACTTTCAAGTAATACCTAACAAGAGAGCAAGATGCCAACATTACAAAATAATAGGTGTTTTGTTCTATTTAGTATGTTGACATAATATAGTCCTTAGCATTTAGCTATTTTCAGTGCTCCAACTGAGATGTTAAATGATGATTCCGGGAATTGTTTTATGTTCTATAGTTTTAAAGGTCTGAAGAACATATGTTGATTTTGTTTGCTCTCACTGCAGTCTTTAGGGTGGAAGTAAAAATATTGTATTTTCATTCCTATATTATGGATGAGGAACTAGCATTTACAGGTGCAATTAGAACCAGATCTTCTGATTCAAACTCTCCTGTACTTTCCATTCTACCAAATGTCATCTCCAGTTTGTTTCAACCGTGTTGTGTTTGGAGTGGCTTTTTTAGCCCTGAAATTTGAAACCTGAATTTTAAAACCTATTAATAGCTATTTATGAAAACAAGTGCCCTATTGTCAAATTATTTTGGATAAATTTGCATGCTATATTTACTTCTTTGAGATTTAACATTTCCAGTGAGAAGTCCCAAAGAATCCTATTTGATACAATACATATCATTTCTCTCTCCTTTTTCTTTTTTGAAGAATACTGTCTTAGCACATTCATCAGGCTTCTATAACAAAAATATCACAAATTGGGGGGCTTTAGAAACAAAGATTTATTTTTCAGAATTCTGGAGGCTGGGAAGTCCAACGTCTAGGCACTGGGAGATTTGGTGTCTTGTGAGGGCCTGCTTTCTGGGTCACAGATAGCTGTCTTCTTGCCGTGCCCTCATATGGCAGAAGGTACAGGGGAGATCTCTGTGGTCTCTTTTATAACAGCATTAATCCCATTCATGAGGGTTCTTCCTTCATGACCTAATCATCTCCCAAAGGATTTGCCTCCAGATACCATCACATTGGGGATTTGGTTTCAATGTGTAAGTTTTGGGGGAAGACAAACATTCAGTCTATACTACATTCCTATTAACATCTCAGAGAATGTTTTTACATGCAAATGATTTGTAGCACTAGTGATTGAAACCAGTAGAAAATACTACAGTGAAACTTTTTGAGAACAGGAATTTTTTATTTCCACTTAAAAACATTGTGGAAAAAATGAATGGCATACATTATTAAGAAGACTTAGAGCAGACTTGTCAGTGACCTTTGGGAGAAGTTTCTTGGAGTCTCGAAGGTGGTTTGAGAGCCTTTATCTTGAAGTTGACCCAGTTCTTATCTTGAAACATAAGCAAATAAGATTTTCCCGTTTTAGCCTGGCTTGGTACACTTAAAGTAAAGAATCACATTCTTAATTACATCAATTTTGGTGTTAGCTGTAAGGTAGAGGTTATGTATTGTCTAAACTGAGTCCACAAACCTTTCAGCTTCCCATTGCTCTGATTTCAATTATGAAGTCATTTCAATTAGCACAATGAAAAGGTCTTAGGAAGTAATATTAAACATTTTTAGTGGGCTTTTGGCTTTTTTCCCGCTTTAGTGATTCAGTGACCTGTGTAGATAGTGTTTTGTTAGCATTTAGCACCTATCAGCATTTGAACATTTTAGTTTTTTGCCTTTCAGTGTCTTTGGGTTATGATAGTGACTGAGAGGCAAAGGATAAGACATAAAATAAAATAAAGAGTAAGAATTTAAATTTTATTTTAAACAGATTGAAAGGTATGGATTCCCTCCTGATCTTACCCTTTCACCTCGAGAAAGCATCCAGCTATATGATGCCATGTTTCAAATTTGGAAAAGTTGGCCCCGGGCCCAGGTAAATAATACTGATGTAATTAATCCTATTATAGAGGATGATAACATTGACAAACTCTCACCCTTTCTAATTACTTGCATCTAATCTTTTAAAATTATTAGTTGACTCTTCCTAAAATAAAAGTGCTTCTTCTCATATTTCTAATATTATCTGTTTGTTTTTTAATGGGTTTTAACTTGTATTTTATTTTAATTCCTCAGAATATTTCTTTTTTTAATCTTTTCAACTTCTCAAACACTATCATATTTCAATCTTTTTACATCTTAGATTCATATTTCTTTTTATTACACTTGCTTCCCTTCTAAGTCCCAACTGCCATTTGTTTTCATCTTTAACTTTGTTTTGCTTTGTATCCTCTCTTCTGAAGAGCTCATCCATCCTAGTAATGTTATTCATTAGACGCTATGTGGAGATAAAAAGTTTAACCATCTCTATGCTCAAGAAACTTGTAAGGCTGTTAAAGAGATATATAATTGAGAAATACTTTTGGATTTTCTTGCATGATTGTACCCAATTTTGTAATATTTGTTTTCAAGGAACTGTGCCCAGAAAACTTCATTCATTTTAACAATAAATTAGTCATTAAAAAGATGGATGCTAGAAAATATGAAGAGAGTCTAAAGTCAGAATTAACAAGTTGGATTAAAAATGGCAACATAGAGGAGGTAATTTTCATACACTTTTTGGCCAAACTATATTTATATTGTTTTCTTGAGTTATATCATTCAGTTAATACCATTTTCTGATTTTTTTAATCCTCAATTTTTATTTTAAAATTTTAAGTTGAACACGAAGTCTAGTGATTCTGAGATAGAATAAAAAGAGAAAGTAAACTGGTCTTTGTCTTATCCTCAATGTCTTCTGAACCATGTGCCAGAGGCTACTGGTTTTTTCTAAATGGCATAGCAGATAAGAACAGAAGGTTCTCTATCCAAAGAGATGATATTGTTGATACTTTAACAGTAGAGAGACTGAACTCACAGTAATAGTTTCTGAGAAGAATGTTTTACTCCTCTTTCTTTTTTGACTTGGAATTTACTGTTCTTTTCTTATTATTATTTCAAGTTGTAGGAAGTATTTGGGTATTGAAACTTTTCCTGGAATTATATAAGTTACAGATATTTGTTTTAATAAGTTGATGGTATTCATATTTTGAAATTTGATTTATTGGTGCAGATTGAGGAATGATATATATTAGACTTTTCTCATTGGATTTTTTTTTCTGTAATACCTTAGTCTACTCCCATTCAAAAACATAATATAATTGAGTTACATTTTTCTTCTAGCTATTTTGTCATTTACAAACCTTGAAAATATATTTGGATGTGATTTTTTGACATAATGTAGAAACTGATTCACACTTGCCCTCCTGTCATAGTGAAACCAGCATCATTTGCTGAAAACTTCTATTCCTGATTTGTATCACCTTAAAAATTGCAGGTCAAATTGCATATGTGTGTGTGTGTATATATCACTGCCAATTTTTTGTTCTCTAGTGTATTGATTTGTATGTTTCTTTGATAGTTCTTTGCCTAATTTTATAATGTACTTTCATAGGACTATTTAAAAAAACCCCAAAAACATATATTAGACAACTAAGAAAATATTTTAGCAAAAAGTAGTAATTTCTTTCTCATGCAGAACTTAAAATTGTTTTGTGTTCACTGCTACAGGCCAGAATGGTACTTCGGAATCTTAGTCCTGAAGCAGATTTGAGTCCAGAAAACATGATCACGAAGTTTCCGCTTCTAGTTGAAAAACTAAGGAAAATGGAGAAGTTACCTGCATTATTTTTTTTGTAAGTTATTTAATTTAATTTGGTTTTGCTTGTAATTGTATTAGACTCATTCCTTTAAGGCAGGGGTCCCCAACTTCCAGGCCACAGACGGTCACCGGCCCAGCCCATGGTCTCTTAGGAGCTGGGCCACAGAGCAGGAGGTGAGTGGTGGGCCAGCGAGCACTGCTGCCTGAGTTTCACTTCCAGTCAGATCAACCCTATTGTGAACTGCACATCTGAGGGATCTAGGCTGCACGGTCCTTATGAGAATCTAACGAATGTCTGGTGATCTGAGGTGGAGCAATTTCATCCCGAAACCATCCCCCCGACCCAGTCCCTGTGTACCACTTTCCCACCGCCTCCCACCGCCACCCACCGCCAAGTTGTTTTCCATGAAACCAGTCCCTGGTGCCAAAAAGGTTGAGGACAGCTGTTTTAAGGTGAGGGGAGTTATACAAACTTTCCTATTGTAGTGCAGTGTTCATTACTGTTTCTGGGGCCCATTAGTTATTTGAATGCATATGTTTTGTTTAAAAATACAACTTTCTAGTTCAATTCTTATATTTGTGTTTGTGCTATTATGAATGACCATCTTTATGTAGTTTGCTACTCTATGTTTTGTTTCTTTCTACTGTAAACTATTATTTTTTATTTAGCCTTGTTAATTTTTAATGCATACCTAGGGTCTTTGCAAAACAAATTGAATGTATATGCACACAAGTATCCCACATAAAACTAAAGTATCTTCACAATATACTACTTATTGACAGTGTATTTTATTATATTTAATTTATAGTAATGAGAACTGTGATCCAGATATGCTGATATCTTTCTAAATTTTATATATTATAGTATAAAATAGCTTAAAATTGAACAAAATAGTGCAATTTCATTGGATATCAAAGTATAATTTATTAAATGGATAACATACTAGATCCTGGATTAACTTTGATAAAATAGTTTGGGACTAGAACACAATACTCTGTTTACTTTGGATAATTTCAAACTACACTTAAGCCATGGAAGCTGAAGTAAATAAATCCAGAGTCTTGGTTAGGCGGAAAAGTTTAATGAAACTTGCTCACATGTAAACAGACATATAGGAATGAATCATTGATGATATATTTCTGAAATTACGATGATGGGTGAATGTAAGATTGTGTTTGGAAATTTGGGGGATTGCAATAATATTACCCCTTTTATCTTTGTTGTTGGGATAAGGAAAATACATTTCTGCACTGCCAAAGATTTACGAAGCTCACCTGTCTCACTTTCAAGTGTGGCTATAGGTCGTAATTAGAAACAAAAGTAATTCTGTACCTCTGGGATATTTCTGAAAGCCTCACTACAAAACAGAAACTGAAAAATAGCTGTTTATTATTCATACCTTCATACAAATATAGGGGAGGCAAAATTTTACTTCTACCACCTTAGGCTTTTTTACCTGGGCTTGAGAATTAAACTGATATAAGACAAATCAATAGAAAAGCATGCACATGTATGTAGTATGTTTTATATGGTGCAGAAGGCTTCATAAGGAGATGAAGACCCAAAGATGCAGTTAGAGTTGGACACTTACATAGTGAATTGGACAAAGAGTGGTAAATTGTGAAAAATGTGACAAAGTAAAGGGGCGTAGGCTAGGGTAACTTGGGTACAGATGTGACCAGGAAGGTAAGAGTTAGTTTAACAAGATTTGTTAGTATAGATGTCCCTTGGCTTCAAGTTCCCATCTTTGAAGATAGGAGTGTTACTCTCCTTCTGGTATAAAAAGGTTTTTTATGGGCGTTTAATCTGCTACTTTTAAGAAAAAGAAAGAAGATCAGAGTGATCTTCTTGACCCTGCTGTTTTTTCTAGTGCTTTCAACTCAAAATAGTTAATATGCCAGAGTGGTATATTTTGGGAGTAGCATGTTCCAAAATCCTTCACATACTTAAAATATTTTAAAACTAAAATATTTCACAAAACATCAAAAGTTTAATTCTACTTGAAGAATTGAAGCTTGGCATGTTTACAGGACTCTTGAATTCTCTACAGAATAAACTGTGAACATCCTTGGTCTTACACAATTTGATTTAGTGCTAAGTAGCCCCAGATCATCAAGAGATCTGAGGATTTGTCTGGGCTCAAGTTTTACCTCTAGGAGCTTTTCAAATAGTAATGGACCCTTAAGCCTTCTGCAGTCTGATCTCTTAAAAAAAAATACATAGAGCATATTCAGTGTTTGATGGCAATGGCAGTGTGTGCTTAAGGGCACACACTTCACGGCCAGGTCCAAACTTGGATCCCACCTCTGCCCCCATGAACTGTGTTATTTCTGGACAGCTACTTAATGACTTTAAGCCTTAATTTCCTTATTTGCAAAATGAGATGATCACAATAATAATGCATTGGATTGGGGTGAGAATTAAATAAACCTAAGTTATGAAAACACTTAGCACAGTGCTACAAAAATGTTATTGAATAAGGTCTAATCTCTAGGCCACATTCATTCTTGTAAAAGTTGCAGATACCAGGATGATCCCTTTTTGTCAGATCCAAACAGACTAGAGCTGAGAGAGCATGAAGGCGGGGTGTTCATGCTTGTATGGCTGAGATAAGCTGTCTCAAGGACTTTCTAAAATAATCCCACGGGCAGTTCTTTCTTTAGGGCTACAGCAATTCAGATAAGATGCCCTTGAAAGAACACCACCCAGTAATGGCATCTCCACCGATAAATTGATGCCAGCTCTGGTTTTGCATCTCCAAAACCAATGAACTATGTTTCTAAGCAGCTTATGTAAGCTGGTCTTTTGCCAATACAAGCTTCCTTTTATCTTTGTCCCTTCAGACACATGTATGGCTTGCCATAGCTGTGTATCTGGGGTTATAATTCTCATTTCTAATTCTAAATATAGTCAACATATTTGGAGATATTTTTTCTTTGGTTTTGTTTTGATTGACATAATATATAGGTTATCCGAGAGATTTAAGAGGCAACATTATTTCCAAGTGATCTTTAAACTTTATTTCCAAGAGTTTTTTTTTTTTTAAATGAAGTACTATGATGAAAGTAACACTATTTTAAAAAGTAATATATTCCTAGGCCCCAGTAATTCCTAGGCCCGTTAATGTAAAAAGAGAAGCAACATATGTCAGTTAAAAACAGGGTTTGAGAACAGAGGCCTACAGGCCAGACTCTGCCACATATAAGCTGTGGGTTCTTGGGCAGACCACTTAATCTTTTTGTGTCTCAATTTTTTCATCTGGAAATAAGGATATTAATAGAGATATTAATAGTGCCTTCTTCATATGATTGTTGTGAGTACTAAATGAGTTAATATACTGAAGTCACTGAGAATAATGCCCGACAACTGTATATAATTTTTTTTTTTAAGGGGGATGGAGTTTCACTGTCACCCAGGGCTGGAGTTCAGTGGCGCAATCTCAGCTCACTGCAACCTCCACCTCCCAGGTTCAACCAATTCTCCTGCCTCAGCCTCCCGAGCTGGGATTACAGGCGTGTGCCACCACGCCCGACTAATTTTTGTATTCTGTGTCACCGTGTTGTCCAGGCTGGTCTCGAACCCTTGACTTCAGGTGATCCACCTGCCTCAGTCTCCCAAAGTGCTGAGATTACAGCCGTGAGCCACCATGCCTGGTCAACTGTGTATAACTTAAATGTTTACTGCTATTATTATTTTATTGTCTACTATATGAAATTTCTTGTCACGTGGCGTAGACTGTCACTTTTAAAATTCTTACTTCACCAGTGTGCCAGTTTATTTACTGTTCAGTAGCTAAACACATTTCCTTTTGATGTTAGCTCTATAAAAACTTTAGAAAGGCCCTTTGCTTCACAGCATAGATTTAAAAAGCTTTATTATACAAACCAGACCTATGACTTGCTATAATAAGCTATAAGCTATGGTTAGTATAGTGACAATAGCTATTGGCTACTTGCAGCCACAGCATTTTGCCACCAAGAAACAGTGGGGAAATAAGACCTCCCTGGGCTTTTCAGTGCTCCTGTAAAAAGCCCTAGCTTCCTGACACAGGGAAATGCATGTGAAATAAACATAGGAAATGTTTGCCTTTACTTCCTCTAGAAACATTTTGCTCTTCACGTATCAGGAGGATTTGATCTGTAGCCATTTGTCTATAAATGTCTTTACCAATTTGTAGCTAATTGCTCAGATCTGAGAAGGCCTACTGAGTACAACCTAGACCAGGTTGCTGGGTTAAACCCCAGGGTGCCAGGAAGTATGGATCACTATATTCCTAGGTACTTACATTTAAAGAACTATAAAGCCCAGAGCTTAGAGACATTTCTGCATTGCAAAGTCCAGCAACACCTAGGGTTTTTTTCTTTTGGAAAGAATCATAGGTTCTCACCTTCTACCAAAAGAGTACTTTTTTTTGATTAATCTTTTTTTTCTCATTTTTGAGAAGGGTGGTGATGGGGATAGCTATCTGTCTTCTGTATATAAACGGAGATAAATGGAGAAAAACCATTGTTCTCTGTTCCTTGCTTATGGAATATTTGACTGCTATTAGAGGAAAAATTTCCACGAGTTCTCATTGCTTTGTCCCAGGGTAATGTCTGTGTGGCGGAGTGGGTGAGGGGACTGAAGTCGGGAGAGAGAGAAGGGGAGGGCCGGCAACACTATTTACTATAAGGTGGTTAATAAGGAGTCGGCTGATTCGGAACACCTGATGTGCACATTCTGGATAACATTTATAAAGGTGGGTATTAAAAACCCAACAGGGGATGATAGCAGTAGATGGAAATATGATTCTGAATTGTATTTATGATGTTATTTTCAAGGCACACATTCTTTTTATTTCCAGATTCAAGTTAGGAGCTGTAGAAAACGCAGCCAAAAGTGTGAGCACTTCCCTAAAGGAAAAGCAGGAGAAAAAAAGGCCTCCCAAAGCTGATAAAGAAGCCCATGTCATGGCTAACAAACTTCGAAAAGTTAAAAAATCCATAGAGAAACAAAAGATCTTGTAAGTAGTTAACTAAAAATTTGACAAGTAGAGGATTAAAATACTCCCCAAATCCCAGTAGGAAACATAAATTGAATATGTTCTATAAATAAGTTCTAGTTGTTGCTTGGACTTATTTCTAAATTGAGTACATTTGGGTGAGAGAATGGGGTAAAGATGAGTGACCATAATTGTACATTCATTCCTTAATTGCATCGATCAGTCTCATTTAGGACTTGGGAGAGGTAGAACCACAGCCTGTCAGCCTAGGTAGATTTTATAACCTGACGTAATCATCCTACACAATAAGCACATCTTTGACACATATATGAACTCTGGCTGTCACTTAGTCCTCAGAAGGTTTAAATATAGACTACACACTTTGTCTTTGGTCATGACAAAGAAGTCTCACTAATATACCATCACAGTTTTATGAGTGATCATAAAAAGAACTTGAGAATGGATGGAAATACTGATTTGATGCTTGGAAAGACTTAGCTAATGTGACTTCTCTTCCTTGCTCTCAATGTCTAATTCTGTCAACTCTAGGGCCAAAATGTTTATCCCCTCTCTATGATCCTCTCCATCTTAAGTAACTTCCTGGCTTAGAAGCTCCTCATATCTTGCCTGGATGATCACAGAGGTCTTTTTTTTTTTTTTTTTTTTTTTTTTTTGGACTTCAGAGCCTTGAGGTTCACCACTCTCCAATCTAGTCAACAAATGATCTTGCACACATTTGAATTGATTAAATTATCCCATGCTCAATGTTCTTCCTTCGCCCTTGCTTAGCTGATGAAGTCTAAACTTCTTGACCGTTATGCCGAAATGTTTTGGTATTTGCCTTAACTCTATCAGTCTCACTTCCTACCACTCACCTCTATCAATACTCAATATTTATGATTCTCCTCACATGACTTACTTTTCTACCTCTTCCTTTCCATGAACTGACCCGTGTGCCTTGAGTGCCCTCCTTCCTGATTGCTCCCAAAGCTTGTACTCAGACTTTTTGGTATCTCATCTCCAAATCTTTCCCTGATTCCTGCAGTTAGACTTTCTACCCTCTCTCCTATGTTCTTCTACACTTTCAATAGCTAGTAGATCAATTATTGTATTATATTGTTGTTTGTATGTATTTCTTTTTCCTAAATTTTAAGTTCCTTTACAACAGGAACCATGTATTTTTCTTTTTATGTCTTCATTGCTTAGCACATTACCTGGCAGGTAATATTATTCCATGAATATATTTGAATGAATGAAAGATATTTCTCTCCAAGTTGAAACAACTTTTAGAGCATCTCTGATTTAGGTTTTCCAAATTCCAGAGCAAACTAGAATTTGCTGCTGAACCTTCTGCTTATATTTCCTCTACCTATTTTTCTGTTTCCTTAGAAGTGTGGGAGGTGAAAACCCAGGGGTAGCAAAGGAGGTGTAAGCCTTCTTAGCAACTGATCCTCAACAACCTTTCCTGAGGGAACCAGGAGCCACATTTCAGGTTAGATTAGTGACCAACAATTCAAGTTATAAAAATAAAGTGTGATTTAATGTGTTATTCATCACCATACTGGGGGTGACGGGGCCTTTAGATAGTCCCACTCTGGCCTCTTCCATCTGCATCCATTCCCATGAAGCAAGGGGCCAGTGGAGCTAAGGAGATGTGCCCATCCAGAGCTCATTCTCACCCTTGAATTCCAGGTTATTATGGAGCTATATTTGTCAAGATAGGTGGATAGAATTTATTTCATTTAACAGTTTATTACTTTGACTAAAAACTTAAAGTGAGGCAATAATATGTGGAGCTTTGCCACATGCTCTGCAAATTTTAGGGCCAGGCCCTTCTATAGTCAAGGCATTCTCCCCTGAGTTAAGGGTAACGTTAGTTAACACATAACGATGAAATACAAGTGAGCACATCTTCTCATAATTACAATTTTCTTCCATGCACAGTTAAGAGAAAAATTTAAAAAATCAAATAAGTGGTAATTGATTTGGGTGCATGTTACATTGAGGGGTGATGGATGGACAACACAGTATGATGATACAATAGACTAAGCCAGGGTTTGTGGAGGGGTCTTCTAGGTCAGATTCTCTAGTAGCATACGCTGAGATGAGGATGTCTGTGGAAGGGATTTATTGAAGATGTGTGCTCATGAGGGACTTGTAAGAAAATGAATGAAACAAGGAAGGGAAGGTGAAGAAAAGCAAAAATGTGGCTTTTGCTAGAAGATAGCCTGATTCTAACCCTACTGGGAATGCTGGGGCACCAGAGAATTGCCCCACCTTGAGTCAAGAGGGCTGATTTTTATACTTCATATCAGTCAGACTTTGGGTGTGGGCTATTTCCCATCCCCAGGAGAGGTTGTCACCACCCAGGCATCTCCAAGAGGCCCCTGTCAGTTTAGGGCAATTCTCCAGGGAATGGTGCAGCTGAGAGCCTTAGTAACCAAATTCAGAGCAGCTGTAGCATCCACTACAAGGAGGGAAGGAGAATGACTAGAATTGGCAATGTGGAGCAAGGAGAACGCCTGCCTTACCTCCGAGCCTAGGGTCATGAAGGCCAAGGAAGAAAAAATGATCATCACCTTAACAAGGAGAAACAGAGTTATCTCAGGAGAACTGGGTTTGGCAAGACTACAGCCAGAAGGAAAGGGAACATCCCAGAAAATATCAATATGTGATAGAATTTTCTCATGGTGGATCATAACATCCAGAGGCTGAAGAGGAAGGAAATTAGAGGAAGACTGAGTTATTAAAGATGCACAGCAGGCCGGGCACAGTGGCTCACACCTGTAATCCCAGCACTTTTTGGCAGGCCGAGGCAGGCGGACCACAAGGTCAGGAGTTCAAGACCAGCCTGGCCAACATGGTGAAACCCCGTTTCTACTGAAGATACAAAAATTAGTCAGGTGCAGTGGTGGACACCTGTAATCCAAGCTACTCAGGAGGCTGAGGCAGGAGAATTGCTTGAACCCAAGAAGTGGAGGTTGCAGTGAGCCAACATCACACCATTGCACTCCAGCCTGGGTGACAGAGAAAGACTCCATCTCGAAAATAAAATAAAATAAGAAAAATAAAGATGCACAGCAGTGGAAGTCTGGGTGAGAAGACTGATTTGGGAAGTCTTGGGCATCCTCTGGTGGCCAAATCAATTAATTACTTCATTCATTATTTACAATTTCATTAATTAAAATTTTATTTTTATGAACAGAGATGAAAAGAGCCAGAAAAAAAACAGAAATGTGGATCAAAGCCTAATACATGAGGCTGAACATGATAATCTGCTGAAGTGTCTAGAGAAGAACCTAGAAATCCCACAGGACTGCACATATGCTGATCAAAAAGCAGTGGACACCGAGGTCAGCACTTACAATGTGACCGTTCTCCAGACTATTTCATTTGTCAGCCATAGCTTCTTAGTTGTAGACAATGTTTAATAAGATATATGCATAATATAATACATAATTAATACAATCCCTACCAAAGGAGAAATCTCCTTTAGCTACATATCAGTCTTGAAGACTTTGCAGTGCATATCCAAAAAAGGACATGATAGTCTAAGCCAGGGTTTGTGGAGGAGTCTCCTAGGTCAAATTCCCTAGTAGCACACACTGAGATGAGGATACCTGTGGAGGAGACTTAGGACTTGTAGATTATTTCTTGCTTGTTAACAGTTCACCTCTGAAAATGTCTGCCATTTCATTATTTCTTTCTATTACATTGTTTCCACAGTCTGAATTCTAGACTTCAATTTCACATGCTTCATTTGAAAATTTGGGTGCATGTGCTCCAATACACTTTAAATAATATTCACAGAATTTCTCAAAATCAGGGGCTTTTTACATTATAGCTAAAACACCAAAGAGGCATTGGAATATCAAAAACTGGTATGCAGAAACCTTTTAAAATGCAAATTACTCATGCTTATGGTAAACAAATTTGAAGGTACAAATTGGTAACAATAAAGGCAATGTCATCACTCATAAGTACTCACTGCCCTTCCAGACCAACCTTTTATCTCATTTTCCTGTGACTATACACATACAAACTTACATACATTTTGTGTGTGTGTATATACATATACGTATACACACACACATATTCATTCTATTGTGCACCTTCTTTTGTAAGCTTCATGGTGTCTTATTTTTTATAACCATGTATTTAGATCATCATTTTAATGAATCCTTGATATTCTGTTGTATGAGTGAATACATAATTGAAGTAACCACTAACCAGCCTTTTGCTTTTGGAAGCTTTTTTTTGTCCCTCTTCCTTCATAAGCAGTGTTTATCTTTGTCCATCTATCTCTGGACACAACTGTATTTCTTCTTTAAGACCTGGGTATTTTTAAGGCCATTTGTGCTCAGTTTCAATGGGAAGTAGGTATTCCCGGACCACGTGGGGTAAGGAACCTACTCTGCCTTCTTGGAGAAGTCTCTCTGTTGGGGAAAACTCCTAAGGCTCCAACAGCCAACTGATATCCCTCAGGCAAGAGCAGTCATGCACTCACCGCTGCTGGGTGTTTCATCTGCTACTTTGTCAAAATTTTCTGCCCCAGAAGTGGAGTAAGACAGTTTAAGATAGTCTGTCCAAAGAAGTGGGAAGATTTTTCTTGTAGTTACTGTTGCTGCCATAAAATATTCTTTGTATTCATGTAGAGTCAATTTCAAATAGTTGCCTCATTTAGCCAAATTATTACATAGTAGGCATGTTATTTTCATTTAGACATTTTTAATTATAATTAAAATTAAATCATAATCCCTAAATGTCTTGCTTCTTTTAGACTTTGCAGAAGGTATTTGGTCGAGTAAAATTTGAAAGAAAAGGTGAAGAATTGAAAGCCTTGGCAGAAAGGGGTATTGGATATCATCACAGTGCTATGAGTTTCAAAGAAAAACAATTAGTTGAAATCCTCTTTAGGAAAGGATTTCTTAGGGTAGGTAAATGTTCTTTATTCTAAAAATTGAAATTGTGACTGTTTCAAGCTGAATGTTCAGGAAAAGTAAAGAATACAACCACCATTTTTCTTTTTTTCTTATGTAATTGTCTTTTAAAAAAATAAGTTGGCCGGGCACAATGGGTCATACCTATAATCCTAGCACTTTGGGAGGCCAAGGCGGGCAGATCGCCTGAGGTCAGAAGTTCAAGACCAGCCTGGCCAACATGGTGAAACCTGCCTCTACTAAAAATACAAAAATAAGCCGGGCATGGTGGCAGGTGCCTGTAATCCCAGCTACTCAGGAGGTTGAGGAAGGAGAATCGCTTGAACCTGGGAGGCAGAGGTTGCCGTGAGCCGAGATCATGCCATCACACTCCAGCCTGGGGGACAAGAACAAGACTTTGTCTTTAAAAAAAAAAAAAAAAAAAAGTCATGATAAGACTGCATATCCTCTGTCTTATTTAATTGAAGAGGGGATTGAAATGCACTACTCAGTTTATCTCTTTTTGTTTGTTTTTGAACCTCCTGAGTAGCTGGGATTACAGGCATGTACCACCATGCCCGGCTAATTTTGTGCTTTTAGTAGAGATGGAGTTTCTCCATGTTAGTCAGGCTGGTCTCAAACTCCCGACCTCAGGTGATCCTCCCGCCTCAGCCTCCCAAAGTGCTGGGATTATAGGTGTGAGCCACTCCACCAGGCCTAGTTTATTTCTTTTTCATGAGAATAAAAATATTTCTTAGACAAATACTTTGGCAAATATTTCTACGGTGAAATATATCTATGTTCTCTCCCCTATCAGTGATAATGGACAAAAGGAAGACTAAAATAACTTTCAGACTGGACCCTTTGTTTTGTGCAGTGTGTCCTGTGACAATGCACAGGGATTTTCTGGATAAATTCACAAAGGAGCTTTATATAGTTTGCTTGTAAATTTGGATCTTTAGTAATATTCAAAAATAGACTGAATTTTAAAAATTATTCATATTAAATTTTGTATGACATATATGACATTCACAAAAGAGAGAGAAAGACAAAGAGATTGAGATTGTTTCTGCTACTCTAGGTAGCATCTTTTAAACTAAATGTTGAGGAAAATCTGACATCATAGTTAACAATCCTATTACCTGAAAAACAACCTAAGATGTAGCATTAACAACTTTGCTACGCTTTTCACTTAACTAATAACAAATTATATATTTATTTTAAAGGCTAATGACCGCGTACAATATTTTCTACATGATTATCAATTGATAGAAGAGAGACACACCTATTTTGATCAGCATATCAAATAGTTTAAATAGTACCTGTTAAATAGTAGTTGCTCAATTACTAATAGGTTAATGAGATCACGCCATGAAAGTACTATGAAAATAGTGACAGCTTTGCTCTAGAGAACATTTTTTAAAAAGGTATTTATTCTAGTTATTTTCTAAATGTATTATTATTTTCTACATTTTTGTTATCAAAAAAAACTTGAGAACAACAGGTAATAAATGATATGTTGCATTTCCCAGATATATAGATTTCAGTTACAGAATAATTAAAGAAGATCACTCTGTATAAACATTAATACTAACCACAGCATGTATGACAATCAATATAAAAAAAAAGAGAAGATGATTAGAAATACCCAGCATTATATGCAAAGAGTATTATCTAAGTAAACTTTTAAGTTTGTCCTGCTTCTTTTCTGGTCAGTCACGACAATTCGGGGGGAAAAGACAACTTTTAAAAATTACTGAGGTGTGTTATTTCCATAGGCATAATCTCAACAAATTTTAGTAGACAAAATAGGTAATTGTCCAGAAGTGGATTTGTAAAAGTATTATTTCCCTATCATAAAAAGTTTTCGTCTAGTTATTCATTTAAAAATATTTACCTGGCCAGGTGTAGTGGCTCACGCCTGTAATCCCAGCATTTTGGGAGGCCAAGGTGGGTGGATCAACTGAGGTCGGGAGTTCAAGACCAAACTAGCCAACATGGTGAAACCCCATCTCTACTAAAAATACAAAAATTAGCCGAACATAGTGGTGGGTGCCTGTAATCCCAGCTACTTGGGAGGTTGAGGCGGGAGAATCGCCTGAACCTGGGAGGTGGAGGTCGCAGTGAGCCGAGATCGTGCCATCACACTCCAGCTTGGGCGACAAAAGTGAAACTCTGTCTCAAAAAAAAAAAAAAAAAAATTACTGAACACCTCTCAGTTGCCAGGTACTCTTATGGGTGCTGCGGATACAATAATGAATCTTGCTTGGAGTCTGGTATAAGACAAGTGAACAAACAAGTAATGTTATTGAGGTAGTCATTAATGCTATGAAGATAAATCACGTGAGACAGAGATAGATAATGATGGTAGGGGTGGTTATTTTGGATGTGGTGGGCTACAGATTCCTCTATGACATTTGAGCGAACAGCTGAAGAAGCCAGACAAATGAATATTTGGAGAAGAATATTCTGTGCAAAGCAAACAGCGCATTTGGGAATACTTGTGGTGTTTGTGAAATAGCAAGAATACCAATGTGTCTAGTTTCTCTAGCTTTCCCATTGTGGCTTCATTGAAGTTCAAAGAGTTTTTCAGCAACTTTATGACAGGAAATACTTGCATTCTATTAAAATGCTATTTTATGAAGTAATTGTTTTATTCTCTTTCAAGGTGGTGACAGCTACTGGAACACTTGCTTTAGGTATCAACATGCCTTGTAAGTCTGTGGTTTTTGCTCAAAACTCAGTCTATCTGGATGCCTTGAATTATAGACAGGTATTTCAAAATGCATAAACTTGCTTATTGTATTGCTGAAATATGACCATAGTATAGTAAAAAAAGTGAACCTATAGTTTACAAACATACCACAATTCACAGTAGCCTAACTGGGCATTCATCCTTGCCTGGCTTTCAGTTTTAGTTGTGGTATAGTTGAAAACACCTGCATTTGGGATTGTGTGATTAACCAGATGTGTGACCTTGGATGAGATATCTAAACTGCCCGATTCTCATTTTCTATCTCCAAAATGTGGGTAATGATTACTCTCCCACAGCATTTGCAAGAATTAAATAAGTGATTTGCATGGAAAATAGACATCAAAGGTGCTTGATAAAGTTTTACTCAATCATTTGCTGTGCACAAGATTTTGCACTCTAGAATTATCTTTAATGCTTCCCTCAGCTTTACTCCTGACACTCAATCTATTACCACGCCCCCTTCATTACTTTCCTATAGCAGTATTTGATTTTTGCCTTGCAATTTCTGTATCCACCATCTTTCTTCATACGTTCTTAGCCTTGTATTATTAGTACAATTTCCCTGATTCTCCATGCTGTTTATTCTACCACATCCTGCAGATAATGTGGTTTATCTTCATATGATTTCCCTGCTCAGAGACATTTGATAACTATTTCTGCTAGCAGATTCAAATTTAGATATGTCACCCACATTCAGGTTTTTATCAACGTGCTTACCCCCTTTATCTCTAAACACTTTTTGTTCTCCTTATAGGCCTTGTTCCTACCCAATATAACATCCTTATATAATTTCCAGCGTGTTACCAACCCCTCTTTTTTAGTTCTATTGCTGCTGCTGTATTCTGAATGAATTCTTCTAATGCATTTTTGGGAATCTTCTACTTTGGGCTCTGGAGCTAGGGTGTTTGATGTTTGGGATGATGGACTTAGGAATGGAAATGTCAGGGTCTGAATTGTGGATCTTCCACTTTGTGGTTGTTTCAGTATGGGCACAGATATTCCCAGTGCCTTAGCACAGTCTAATCACTTAATCAATAAGAGTTAATATAACCTCTGTAAAGATTTTATTCATAACTTGCTTTTTCACAAGTAGCATTTCTGAATTTTATTTCACTCATGTATTTATTCTGGTTGTGCACGTATTTTATTTTGTGATTTGTAACTCAACACACTTGTGCGTCAGAGAGGGCAGAAAAGGGATGAGAGATGGGGAAGATGGGCAGGGAGAGAAAATGGGTACATTAGAGTTCAGCTGTAAGTGATTTTGACATCACTGTTTTGCCGGTGTTCTTTGTTTCTTCAGTAGATCATTATTTCTTTGGGATATATTATACAAATGCCTACTGCAATTAATGGCTTGAAATATTTACATAATGATGACAAATGTCTCAGTTTTTAGATCTATCTCAGTCATGGCAAATTTCCTAAGCACTGTGTAGTTGCATGTTAGTGTCCGTTCCTTAACGGTTAGACATATGCACAATTTCCGAACTCCAAACCAGAGTATTCTTACACTGTGGCAGTAGAAGCATTTAGGGAAGTTATACATTGTAATTCTGTTCTCTTTTCAGATGTCTGGCCGTGCTGGAAGGAGAGGTCAAGACCTGATGGGAGATGTATATTTCTTTGATATTCCATTCCCCAAAATAGGAAAACTCATAAAATCCAATGTTCCTGAGCTGAGAGGACAGTTCCCTCTCAGCATAACCCTAGTCCTGCGACTCATGCTGCTGGCTTCCAAGGGAGATGACCCAGGGGATGCCAAGGCAAAGGTACCGTGCTGGACCCTGCCTGAGTTCAGTCTTCATCACTGGCCTGGCTCTAGTCACCTCTGCTGTTCTTTTAGAAGTCTGCGGCAATCACCCTTGAGTTTCATCAGTCCTTTAATGTTTTGCAATGTCTTGAATAGTATAGAATTGGGGGTAGCTAGGGAGAATAACAGTTTGGTTTGTTTCTACCATCAGACATGGAATTTGTGGCTTGATGAGCACTGAAAATCACTCAGGATTACTATTTTCAGGTGTGAAATCCAGTGTCCTATAGTAGTTAAGTGCTGGCTATGAATTTAAAAAGCTCTAGGCAATTAATAGATTCCTTTCTACAATTTAGAAAGAAAAGAAAGATTTATTTTTATGATTTTGTAACAAAAAAGTTTAAGTGTTTCATATAAAAGTAACTCAAACTTAGGAATACTTGGGAAATGTAGAATGTTGAAATAAGAAAAAAGTGCCCCTGTTTCACTCCCAAAGACATTCACATTATCATTTTCTTTTTTTCAGTTTTCTAAGCATGGGTGTGTATTTGATTTTTAAACACTGATAACATTGTATGTAACTGAACTTCAAAATATGGTTGTAAACGTTTCCTGATGTATGTTGCCCAGATAAAAGTTTTGTAGCCAGTCTCTCAATGACGGATTTAAAGTTCATGATTACGTAATTTGATTCTCGTCTTTATCCAGCATTGTTAGTAATGCCTGTTCTTTCTGTTTTTGTGTAGTGATTAGCATGCCCAGGTAAATCAGATACTGTTTTCTGAAGTTAGGATTCTTCTAGAATTCTTTTGATGAGTTGGCTGATATTACAGAACAGTCATACATCATTTTTAAGACCAAAATTTCCCCATTCTTGAGTTCTTCATTTTTACCTGTCTCTAAAGAGGAGTGCATCTTCTAATAAGGTTTCTTATTTTTTTTAAATGGTTATCAGGGTGGTTCATTTTCTTTGCCTTGCATGTTTGAGAAGACCTACGTGTAAACTTCTCACATACGGGACTCTTAAAAGTGGGCATAATATTCATAGAATATTATTGTCTTCATTCATCAAATCAAACTAAGATTGTTTCCATTGCCTTCTGGCATTTAATGTTTTACATAGAGGAATCATGGCAGTTTCTGTTCTCTTGCGGTTAACTTGATATTTTTTTCTGTATATGCAATTATATGAATCTTTTGCTTTATTCTATTTCAGATGTTTTATTTTCTAGGATTTTCTGGATTTATGGATCCTTTAAAAATTGATGTTTTAGTTATTATATGAGAACTTTCAATCTTTGTGCTCAGGTTTTTATTTATTGTGGTGAAATGCACATAAAATTTGCCATCTTTAACCATTTTAAATGTACAGTTCAGTAGTGTTAAGTATGTTCATATTGTTATGCAATGCTCAGGTATTTTTCAAATGAGGAAGAGGTCCTTGAATTGTATCTTTGTTATTTGCTTCTGTTAATTGTTCAGTGTTTTTTTTTCAGGAAAAGCTATAATTTTTAAATTGAGACCCACTTTTCTGTTCTTCATTCCTGTTTTTTTCTTTATGAGAAAACATGAAACTTATCTTCCATATCACTGATGGCCTGAAGTGCAAATGTGGATTTTAATTCTGCTACTGCTGGACTTTTGTTTTTCTGAAATTCTTTTTTTTTTTTTTTTTTTCTGAGATAAAGTCTTGCTCTGTTGCCAGGCTGGAGTGCAGTGGCGCGATCTCAGCTCACTGCAACCTCTGCCTCCTGGGTTCAAGCAATTTCCCTGCCTCAGCTTCCTGAGTAGCTCGGACTACAGGTGTGCACCACCACACCTGGCTAATTTTTTATATTTTAGTAGAGATGGGGTTTCACCATGTTGGCCGGGATGGTCTTGATCTGCTGACCTTGTGATCCACCCACCTTAGCCTCCCAAAGTACTGGGATTACAGGTGTGAATCACTGCACCTGGCCCCTGAAATTCTTTACTCCTCCATCCATCACTCTTATATATCATAATCATGTATTTTTCAATGTCAATTTATATTGTCTCTATACCATAGACTGTAGTGCCTTGTCTCAAAGAGGTCACATCATTTGGCATCCATTAAGGATGACAAATAATTTTTCCTTTTTTTCCATCTTCTTATTTTATTGTATTTTAAGTTCTGAGTCACATGTGCAGAATGTGCAGGTTTGTTATGTAAACATGTGCCATGGTGGTTCGCTGCACCTATCAACCCATCACCAAAGTGTTAAGCCTAGCATGCATTAGCTGTTTTTCCTGATGTTTTCCCTCTCCCTGCCCCAACAGGCCCTGGTATGTGTTGTTCCCCTCCCTGGGTCCATGTGTTCTCATAGTTCACCTCCCACTTACAAGTGAGAACATGTGGTGTTTGGTTTTCTGTTTCTGCATTTGTTTTCTGAGGATGATGGCTTCCAGCTCCATCCATGTCCCAACAAAGTACATGATCTCATTCCTTTTTATGGCTGTATAGTAGTCTGTGGTGTATATGTACCAGTTTCTTTATCCAGTCTATTGTTGATGGGCATTTGGGGTGATTCCATGTCTTTGCTATTGTGAATAGTGTTGCAGTGAACATATGTGTGCATATATCTTTATAATGGAATGATTTATATTCCTTTGGGCATATACCCAGTAATGGAATTGCTGGGTCAAATGGTATTTCTACCTCTAGTTCTTTGAGGAATCTTCACACTGTCTTCCGCAGTGCAATCGAACTGATTTACACTCCCAGCAACAGTGTAAAAGCATTCCCATTTCTCTGCAACCTCACCAGCATCTATTGTTTCTTGACTTTTTAATAATTGCCATTCTGATTAGTGCGAGATGGTATCTCATTGTGGTTTTGATTTGCGTTTCTCCAATGAGTGGTGATGTTGAGTTTTTTTCATATGTTGGCTGCATGTATGTCTTTTTTTGAGAAGTGTCCATTCATGTCCTTTGCCCACTATCTAATGGGGTTGTTTGTTTTTTTCTTATAAATTTGTTTAAGTTCCTTGTAGACTCTGGATATTAGACCTTTGTTGAATGGATAATTTTCTCCCATTCTGTAGGCTGTTTTCTCTGATGATTGTTTCTTTTGCTGTGCAGAAGCTCTTTAGTGTAATTAGATCCCGTTTATCAATTTTTGCTTTTGTTGGAATTGCTTTGGGCATTTTCATCATTATATTATTCCATGTTCATGCTGCTGATAAAGACATACCCAAGACTGGGCAATTTACAAAAGAAAGAGGCTTAATGGAGTTACAGTTCCACATGGTTGGGGAGGCCTCACAATCATTTCAGAAGTCAAGGAGGAGCAAGTCATGTTTTATAATGGATGGCAGCAGGCAAAGAGAGAGAGAGCTTGTGCAAGGGAACTCCTCTTTTTAAAAGCATCAGATCTCATGATAGTTATTCCCTATCACGAGAACAGCATGAGAAAGACCCGCCCCCATGTTTTAATTACCTCCCACCAGTTTCCTGTCATGACACATGGGAATTGTGGGAGTTACAATGTAAGATGGGATTTGGGTGATGACACAGCCAAATCATATAATTCCACCCCTGGTCTCTCCCAAATCTCATATCCTCACATTTCAAAACTAATCATGCCTTTCCAACAGCCTCCCAGAGTCTTAACTTGTTTCAGCATTAACTAAAAACTCCACAGTCCAAAGTCTCATCTGAGACAAGGCAAGTGCCTTTTACCTATAAGCCAGTAAAATCAAAAGCAAGTTAGTTACTTCCTAGATACAGCGAGGGTACAGGCATTGGGTACATACAGCCATTCCAAATGGGAGAAATTGGCCAAATCAAAGGCACCACAGGCCCCAAGCAAGTACAAAATCCAATGGGAAAGTCAAATCCTAAAGCTCGAAAATGATATCCTTTGACTCCGTGTCTCACATCCAGGTCACACTGATGCAAGAGGTGGGCTCCCATGGCCTTGGACAGCTTCACTCCTATGGCTTTGCATGGTATAGTGCCCCTCCTGGCTGCCTTCATGGACTGGCATTGAATGTGGCTTTTCTAGGCTCATGGCACAAGCTGTCAGTGGATCTGTCATTCTGGGGTCTGGAGGGTGGGGGTCACAGCTCCAATAGGTGGTGCCCCAGTAGGGACTCTGTGGGTTCTCTAACCCCATATTTTCCCTTTGCACTGCCCCAGCAGAGGTTCTCCACGAGGGCCCCCATCCCTGCAGCAAACTTCTGCCTGGACATCCAGGCATTTCCATACATCCTCTGAAGTCAAGGCAGAGATTCCCATACCTCAGTTCTTGACTTCTGTGCACTCTCATGCTCAACACCATGTGTAAGCTGCCAAGGCTTGGGGCTTCCACTCTCTGAAGCAATACCCTGAGCTATACCTTAGCCCCTTTTAGTCATAGCTGGAGCAGCTGGGATGCAAGGCACCAGGTCCCTAGACTGTACACAGCAGAGGAACCCTGGGTCTGGCCCAGGAAACCATTTTTTTCCCCCTAAATCTCTGGGCCTGTGATGAAAGGGACTGCCACAAAGGTCTCTGACATGCCCTGGAGACATCCCATTATCTTAGTGATTAATGTTTGGCTACCCATTACCTGTGCAAATTTCTGCAGCTGGCTTGAATTTCTCCTCAGAAAATGGGATTTTCATTTCTATTGCATTGTCAGGGTGCAAATTTTCTGAACTTTTATGTTCTGCTTCCCTTATAAAACTGAATGCCTTTAACAGCACCCATGTCACCTCTTGAATGCTTTGCTGCTTAGAAATTTCTTCTGCAAGATACCCTAAATCATCTCTCTCAAGTTCAAAGTTCCATAAATCTCTCAGGCAGAGGCAAAATGCTGCCTGTCTTTTTTCTAAAACATAACAAAATTCACCTTTGCTCCAGTTCCCAACAAGTTCCTCATCTCCATCTGAGACCACCTCAGCCTGGATTTCATTGTCCATATGATTATCAGCATTTTGGTCAAAGCCATTCAAGAAGTTTGTAGGGAGTTCCAAACTTTCCCACATTTTTTGTCTTCTTTTAAGCCCTCCAAATTGTTTCAATTTCTGCCTGTTACCCAGTTCCAAAGTCACTTTCACATTTTCAGGTATCTTTTCAGCAGCACCCCACTCTACTGGTACCAGTTTACTATGTTAGTCTGTTTTCATGCTGCTGATAAAGACATACTCAAGAGTGGGAAATTTGCAAAAAAAAAAAAAAAAGTTTTAATGGACTTACAGTTCTGCATGGCTGAGGAGGTCTCATAAAAATGTCAGAATGCAAGGAGGAGCAAGTCACGTCTTACAATGGATGGCAGCAGGCAAAGAGAGAGCAAGTTTTTGCAGGGGAATTCCTCTTTTTAAAACCATCAGATTTCATGAGACTTATTCACTGTTATGAGAACTGCATGGGCAAGATTTGCCCCCATGATTCAATTACCTCCCACCGAGTTCCTTCCATGACATGCGGGAATTGTGGGAGTTATAATTCAAGATGAGATTTGGGTGGGTACACAGCCAAACCACATCAATCATGAAATATTTGCCCATGCCTGTGTCCTGAATAGTATTAGTTAGGTTGTCTTCTAGAATTTTTATAGTTTTGGGGTTTACCTTTAAGTCTTTAATCCATCTTGAGTTAATTTTTGTATAAAGTGTAAGGATAGGGTCCAGTTCAATTTTCTTCATATGACTAGCCAGGTCTTCCATCATCGTTTATTAAATGGGAAACCTTTCTGCATTGCTTGTTTTTGCCGAAGATCAGATAGTTGTAGATGTGTGGTCTTGTTTCTGAGTTCTCTATTCTGTTCCAATGGTCTATGTGTCTGTTTTGGTACCAGTACCATGCTGTTTTGGTTACTGTAGCCTTGTATTAAAGGTAGAAGTTGGGTAGTATGATTCCTCCAGCTTTGTTCTTTTTGCTTAGGAGTGTCTTGGCTGTATGGGCTCTTTTTTGGTTCCACTATGAATTTTAAAATAGTTTTCTTCCTAATTCTGTGTAGAATGTCACTGGTAGTTTAATGGGAATAGCACGGAATCTATAAATTACTCTGGGCAGTATGGCCATTTTCACAATATTGATTCTTTCTATCCATGAGCATGAAATGTTTTTTCATTTGTTTATGTCCTCTCTGATATCCTTGAGAAGTGGATTGTAGTTCTTGAAAAGGTCCTTCACTTCCCTTGTTAGCTGTATTCCTAGGTATTATATTATCTTTGTAGCAATTGTGAAGGGGAGTTCATTTGTGATTTGGCTCTCTGCTTGTTTGTTGTTGATTTATAGTAAAATGCTTGTGATTTTTGCACATTGATTTTGTATGCTGAGATTTTGCTGAAGTTGCTTATCAGCTTAAGAAGCTTTTGGGTTGAGATGATGGGGTTTTCTAGATATAGGATCATGTCATCTGCAAACAAAGACAATTTGAGTTCCTGTCTTCCTCTTTGAATATCGTTTATTTCTTTCTCTTGCCTGATTGCCCTGGCCAGAACTTTCAATACTATGTTCAATAAGAGTGGTGAGAGAGGGCATACAAATAATTTTTCAAGACAACTTTTTTTTTTTTTTGCTGCATATAGAAAACAATTTTCATATGTCAGATCTTTTCTTTAGAGGAAAAGATGTCCTTGTCACAGTCTATGAGGTCCTGCAGTATATGATCTCTTACCAGCTTGCAGAGGTCACTTCTTCTCTTCCACATGGCCAGCTACCCGCTTCATGAGCACCTCAGACACATTCCGGTCTGAGGACTATGGCTCTTACTGTTTCTTCTCCTTCTAAGATCTTCCCTGAGACATGTACATGGCCTCACTCTCTTACCACATTAAATTCTTTACTGTAACATTACATAGTGAAGCCTACCCTCACCGTGCCTTCTAAACTGTAAATGTTTCCCCTGTCTGCTGCATTGACAGTGTTCCTTATTCAGTTAAATAGAGTTCTCATCAGTTCCTATATAGCATCAAATTATCTATGTATCTATCTACATTGATCTATCTTTATGTTTATCATCTATATTTCTATCCATCTACCTACCTCTACCTACCTATCTCTATCTATCTATCTATCTATCTATCTATCTATCTATCTATCTATCTATCTATCTATCTAATCTATCTATCAATCAATCATCCATCTTCTATCTGCTATCTAACTTTCTATCTATCATGTATCATTCTATCATTTATCTTTCTATCCATCTATCTACATCTATCAATCATCTATCTACCTATCATCTGTCTTTCTATCTTCCTATCTCTATCATGTTTTTATGTATTTTATCTATATTTCCCACTAGAATATAAGCACTCCAAGGACAATAATGTATGTCTGTCTGATTTTCTGATGTGGACATTCAATAAATATTTATAGCATGACCATAATTTTAAGAAGATGATAAATTTTTCTTAAGAAGAATTGATCTATTGTGGGTTTTTCTATTTTATCACTTTGAATACATCTATCCAAATCTGATGGTTTGCCAAGCAATAGGATGTATCAAATTTCTTCTGGATTCACTCTATCCACCTACATATTAATCAAATACTCTTTCAGATCTGAGCTGGATGAATAGTTTTTGGCCCAAATATCAGTGTTTAGCAGATCTTCATCTATGTAGTTTTCTGAATTGAAAGGTCATGTTCTACTTCTGCTAGTCTTATTACACATTGATTATCTGGATGACATTAGTCACAATAAACTATAGTATGCAATGCCATCAGGATTCTTATCATCTTAGTATGACTTTAATATGAGGTCTGTACTTCTGTGGTTATAGTGAACCACCATGAAACCCTGATTCCTCACTATGCTGTTTTCTGACTCTTGCCATCTCTGACTAAAAGTGGCATATGAGAGACAAGAGGTTGCAAATATGCCATATATGGTGCCCTCAAAAAGTATCATCCCACAGTAGGGAGATGGAAAGTGCACTCCCTTCTTCCACCCTTCCACTCTTTCTCCCTTTCTCTCTTCTTCCTTTTCTCTCTCTTCTTCCTTTTCTCTCTCTTCACTTCCTCTTCCCTTCTCTCCTTCTTTCCCTCTCTGCCTGCCTGCCTGCCTGCCTGCCTTCCTTCCTTCCTTCCTTCCTTCCTTCCTTCCTTCCTTCCTTCCTTCCTGCCTTCCTTCCTTCCCTTCTTCCTTTTTTCCTTTTTTCCTTCCCTCCCTCCTCCTAGACCATTAGCCTTATAGTAAGTAGAAATTCTTTCTAGGTTCTATAAACCCTCAGGCCTAAAGACAGCTAAGTTTCCATTTTGGCGATACTGGGATTTTTTTTTTTTTGAATTTCATAGACATTTTAGTGGGAAGTTGAAAGATATATGTACTTTAATGCAGTTTTATGCTGGAAAGCAAGCAATATTTTTATAACATTGGTTGAAATCAACCTAGTTACATGATTTTTTGTAATAATACTGCAGAACATGGGATAATATATCTTTTTACTTCTAGAACAATTTAAAAGCTATAAGCTCCTGAACTGGAATGGTTTTCATAATCAGATTCTTTGGCAATATGTTTCATTTCTGACAATTCAGTTTATGTGCTCTATTTTGTTAAAAAAAAAAGTTGCCATGTAACACTATAAAATAGTATGAAATTAAATTTTATCTGATGCATTTCTAATGTCTGTGTGGTATAATAGATATTGATCTATCATTTATTATCATTTTCAAATGTATTTTGTAACACTTAACATTGTGTGTCTAAAAGTACTCTTTTCTTTAAAGGTGCTATCAGTGCTAAAGCATTCATTGCTGTCCTTCAAGCAACCCAGAATCATGGACATGTTAAAACTTTACTTCTTGTTTTCTTTGCAGTTCTTGGTGAAAGAGGTATGCATTACTGCACTTTTTTTGGGACAGGGGGAATAGCATTACTACTATCTAGATTTCTTACCATGCTGAACTAATTGTAGCTTTTAGAAGGTTCTATCCAATGATTGACATTACTTATAAATGGTATAATTATAAAAGTTGGGCCCAGTAATAGTTATAAATATTTCTTATATTGGCATTAAATACTATTTTAAACTGATACTTAATAAGTTACTTATTATGTGGCAACTTGAGTCAAACTAATAAATTGTTTTTTGTTCTTTAGGGCTATTTAGATCAAGAAGGTAATCCAATGGGGTTTGCTGGACTTGTATCACATTTGCATTACCATGAACCTTCTAATCTTGTTTTTGTCAGTTTTCTCGTAAATGGCCTTTTCCATGATCTCTGTCAGCCAACCAGTAAAGGTAAGCTTGAGATTTTATATATATATGTAGAGAGAGAGTCCAAAAATAGCAACAGATTTGTAGACAACCAACACTTCAGGAATATTTTTAGTAAAGAAAATACAATTAATATGTATATAATTTATAGCTCTTCAATTGATAAAGTAAATACCTACTAATATATATTAAATGATAGTCAGCCATATTTTATGACATGTATTTACAATGTCAACACCTCCAAAGTATTAACTTCAGTGATTCCTTGCTGCCAGGATTAATGACATATTAAATAATATACAATTTTTAGAAAATATTTTCTTCTAATTAAATATAATATATATTCATCATAGGAAAAGGATATAGGAAAGCATTAAGTTAAAAAGAAAAAATTACTCATAGTTACACTATCCACAGGTAATCACTATTAATGTTTGTGAATATTTTCTTCCAATCATATTTTCTTTGAATATTATTGTATAGTATACCTAAATAGCTGACATTATATTAATAGTGTAATTTAGAATCATATTTTCCCCTAAAAATACCACAATTTTATCCATATTGAGTAAACTTTTAAATACATTTTATTTAATACATTTTTAATTAAAATCCTTTGATTTTTACATTTAAACACTAAATCTGTATGGTGTTCTTAAAATCACGAAGATAGACTGAAGTGAGGAAATCTAGGTAAGGAAATAAGGCAATTTGTGTGGGATGATTAGGATCTAAATTAGGGTATAGGTAGCAAGGATGAAAAAGAAGGCACAGATAAAAACCGTTAGCAGATGTATGGTAATTCTTCAATTGCTATATTTGTCATAGATTTTTAGTTTCCATGAAATTAAATGTAATATGACATTCCATTTAAACATGAAAAAATAGAATTATACCCTTTCATATTTACAAGAAGACACTTTGTTTTGTATAGGCTCAAAACATTTTTCTCAAGACGTTATGGAAAAGCTAATGTTAGTACTGGCACATCTCTTCGGAAGAAGATACTTTCCACCAAAGTTCCAAGATACACACTTCGAGTTTTATCAATCAAAGGTAAACTGTGTGATTCTGATAAAATTTAATAATGTAAAATCACTAAATAGATCTTACCTAAAATGACTTTAGTGGCTGTAGAATTTTAATTCAAAGGATAATTCATTTGTTTTATAGAATAATTTGTTCTTTCTGTAATCAGTGTGATATTTAATCTGTAATTGATGTCTCCCTCTGTAAATCTACCAAAAAGTTAAAGTCTTTGTGAAAAAAACAGGATCAACATTTTATTCATGTTTTTAATTTGATTGTATCAAATTATAACATCAGGTGACTAAAGAAAAGATATGCTAATTATACATTTAAGTGAAATAACTAGCTATATCACCAAATATACTGTTCTTTTAGGATGCTTTTACCTTAAGGTAGAACTATGGAAGGGACATACATGTTGTGAATTATGTCTTCCCTGAGAAAATATTAGAATAGTCATCTAAGAAATCGTTACTTGACTCACAGAGATCAAAAACAGAGAAGCACTTTTTCAATTTTATTTGTAGCATGCAACATTTTCTTTGGTCATGATTCTCTACCATCAAGTCAACGTCAAATACTATTACTATTATACTTCCCTAGAATAAAATGGGATATGCTGGTTTATACTAGATAACCTTAGTGAAAAGTTGCTATGGAACAAACAAAAAGAATTAGTATATATTTTCTAATCCCACAATGCTGGATTAAAAATCTGTGCTCTCACAGAATGCCCTCTAGAGCAGTGAACACAATTTGAGTCCTTGACCTATCATCTTTACACTTTTCACCACTCGTACATTTTTGAAACAATTATTTAATTGTTCTGTTTAAATAAATTTATATTTAACATGGAAACTTCACTATCTCTGTTTTGAAAAAAAAGATCATGATAAAAATACACTTTACTGCATAACAGTCAGATCTGTGTAAAATGTTAGGGTGCTACGCCAAAAAGCTTTAAAAAATAGGCCAAACATGGTGACTCAAGCCTGTAATCCTAGCACTTTGGGAGGCAGAGGTGGGAAGGTTGCGTGAGCCCAGGAGTTTGAGACCAGCCTGCGGAACAGAGGGAGACCCCATCTCTAAGATAAAGCAAAAATTAGATAATAATTTCTAAAGTCCCATATATTAAATAAAAACTCACTAGAGAAAAGGATCTGGGTCTGCCTTCATGGGTAGACTTGTATCGCCCTCAAGACATTTTTGAAGCCATCTAGGACTGGAAAATTAAATAGCAGGTTAGGAAGTGCTACAGGAAAAAAGGTGGATCTTTAGTAGTCTTTTAGATTTGAGAAGACTAAGACCAACTATCCTTATTCTCAAAATCTTAAGAAATCCATGACCTAGAGAGACAAAGCATAAATAAGGCTTACTAAAACCGTAAAACAATACCCACTGCAGTCTGTACTATCTGTACCGAATTGAGGTGATCATACTTTCACTCTCTTGGCCAAACTTGAAAATGGTGGCATTCACCCTGGTGAAAGATAACATCTAAAGCCTGTAAAGTCCTTTGAAAACAATTTCTGGTGCAAAACCAGAACCAAAACAAAACCTAAAAAGGTCAGTAAGCATGAACATATGACCAATAAACAGGAATAAAAGAGGTCGATAATTGTAGATCCATAAATGATCCAGACATTAGCATTAACATATAAAGATTTTAAGTGTGATTAATATGTTCAAGAAAATAGGAGGAGAGATAAGATTAATAAAAGGATGGATTTTTTACTAGATAATTACAATGTATAAAACGAAATGGACATTTTAGAACTGAAAATACAATATCTGACTATCAGAATGTGCATTTCAGAAGTCATGATCAGTAAGTTGACAGCATAATAGAAAGCATCCAAATAGCACAGAGTTAAAAAAATTTAAAAAATCAGACAGCATAAGAAACATGAATCACATGGAAAAAGTTTAATGTATATATAATGGGAGTCCCAGAAAAAAAAGATGGAGAAAAATGGCTGAAGAGTATTCAAAAAGATAATAGCTGGGAATTTTCCAAAGCTGATTAAAGATAGCACATCATAGTTTTAAAACCCTAGTCAACTTCAGGGAGTATAAATGTAGAAAAACATTAAGCTAAAACTGCTGAAAAGCACAAAGAGAAAATCATAAATCTCCTAGGACAGAAATAAAGTGACACATTTCCTTCTAGGAAGAAATAATGAGAATGGTAAATCTCTTTTTAATCAAAATAATGGAAGCTAGTGGACAATGGAACAATATTTTGTTATTGATTCAGATATTTTACATGCAAATACATACATTCATCAGATATATACATATATAAACTCTTGGTGTTACATAACTAGAATTATATTAGACATGCTATTGCATTTTTATTCTTAGATCAAAAATACTTTTCCAGATGACCACATATGAATTTTTTGGTATTTTTAAAAATTTCAACAGGTTTTGGGGAAACAGATGGTGTTTGGTTACATGTGTAAGTTCTTTAGTAGTGATTTCTGAGATTTTGGTGTACCCAAGCAGTGTACACTGCACCCAATGTGTAGTCTTTTACTCCTCATCCCTCACACCTTTTCCTATGAGTCTCCAAAATCCGTTGTACCATTTTTATGACTTTGTGTCTTCATAGCTTAGCTTTCACTTATGAGTGAGAAAATATGATGTTTGGTTTTCAATTCCTGAGTTATTTCACTTAGAATGATGGTCTCCAACTCTATCCAGGTTTCTGTGAATGCTATGATTTCATTTCTATTTACGGCTGAGTAGTATACCGTGATACATATGTACCACATTTTCTTTATCCACTCATCGACTGATGGGCATTTAGGCTGGTTCCATATTTTTGCAATTGCAAATTGTGCTGCTGTAAACATGCATGTGCAAGTATCTTTTTGGTATAAATACTTATTTTCCTCTGGGTAGGTACTCAGTAGTGGGATTGCTGGATCAAATGGTAGATCTACTTTTAGTTTGTTAAGGAATCTCCATACTGTTTTCCCTGGTGGTTGTACTAGTTTACATTTCCACCAGCAGTGTAAAAGTGTTCCCTTTTCACTACATCCACATTAACATCTATTATTTTTTATTTTTTGATTATGGCCATCCTTACAGGAGTAAGATGGCATCGCATTGTGGTTTTGATTTGCATTTCCCTGGTAATTAGTAATGTTGACCTTTTTTTTATGTTTGTTGGCCATTTGTATATTTTCTTTTGAGAATTGTCTATTCATGTCCTTAGCTCACTTTTTGAAGGGATTGTTTGTTTTTTTGTTGCTGATTTGTTTGAGTTCCTTGTAGATTCTGAATATTTAGTCCTTTGTTGGATGCATCATTTGTGAAGATTTTCTCCCACTCTGTGGGCTGTTTATTCTGCTGATGATTTCTTTTGCTGTGCAGAAGCTTTTTAGTTTAATTAAGTCCCATCTATTTATCTTTGTTTTTGTTGCATTTTCTTTTGGGTTTTTGGTCGTGAAACCTTTATCTAAGCCAATGTCTAGAAGGGTTTTTCCAATATTGTCTTCCAGAATTTTATGCTTTCAGGTCTTAGATTTAAGTCTTTGATCCATCTTGAATTGGTTTTTGTATAAGGTGAGAGATAAGGATTCAGTTTCATTCTGCTACATGTGGCTTGCCAATTATCCCAGCACCGTTTGTTGAATAGGGTGTCCTTTCCCCACTTTATGTTTTCATTTACTTTGTCAAAGATCAGTTGGCTGTAAGTGTTTGCCTTTATTTCTGTTCTTTATTCTGTTCCATTGATCTATGTGTCTATTTTTATGCCAGGACCTTGTGGTTTTGATGACTATAACCGTATAGTATAGTTTGAAGTCAGGTAATATGATGCCTCTAGAAATGTTCTTTTTGCTTAGTTTTGCTTTGGTTGTGTGAGCTTTTCGTGGGTTCCATACGAATTTTAGGATTGTTTTTTCTAGTTTGTGAAGAATGATGGTGCCATTTTTATGAGAATTGTATTGAATTTGTAGATTGCTTTTGGCAGTATCATCATTTTCACAGTATTGATTCTACCCTACATGAGCATAATATGTGTTTCAATTTGCTTGTGATATCTACTATTTCTTTCAGCAGTGTGTTGTCGTTTTCCTTGTAGAGGTCTTTCACCTCCTGGTTAAGCATATTTCTAAGTATTTTATTTTATTTTTTGCAGCTATTGTAAAAGGGGCTGAGTTCTTATTTGATTCTCAGCTTGGTTGCTGTTGGTGTATGGCAGAGCTACTGATTTGTGTACATTAATTTTGTATCCTGAAACCTTACTGAATTCATTTATCAGTTCTAGGAGCTTTTTAAATGAGTCTGTAGATTTTTCTAGGTATTCAGTCATATCGTTGGGAAACAGTGACAATTTGACTTCCTCTTTACTGATTTGGATGTCCTTTATTTATTTCTTTTGTCTGATTGCTCTGGTTAGGACTTCTAGTACTATGTTGAATAAGAGTGGTGAAAATGGGCATCCTTTTCTTATTCCAGCTCTCAGGGGGAATGCTTTCAATTTTCCTTGTAAAGTATAATGTTGACTGTGGGATTGTCATAGATGGCTTTTATTACCTTAAGGTATGATCCTTCTATGCCAATTTTGCTGAGGGTTTTAATCATAAAGGATGCTGGATTTTGTCAAATGCTTTTTCTGCATCTATTTAGATGATCATGTGATTTTTGTTTTTAAATCTGTTATGTAGTATATTATATTTATTGACTTGCATATGATAAACCATCCCTGCATCCCTGGTATGAAACCCACTTGATCATGGTAGATTATCTTTCTGATATGCCATTGGATTCTGTTAGCTAGTATTTTGTTGAGGGTTTTTGCATCTACATTCATCAGAGATATTGGTCTGTAGTTTTCTTTTTTGTTGTTGTTGTTATGTCATTTCCTGGTTTTGATATTAAGTTGATATTGGCTTCATAGAACGATTTAAGGAGGATTCCCTCTTTCTCTATCTTTTGAAATAGTGTCAGTAGACTTGGTACCAAATCTTCTTTGAATGCTTGATAGAATTCAGTTGTGAATCCATATGGTCTTG